AACCGCGGGAAACAGAACCATAGTGCAGGTCATAGGAGTAGGAGGCAAAGTAATGAGAACAGCCAACGTGAGCAATGCAATAGGAACGGCAGTGTCAGCAAATGTTGAAACCAATCGCACAATGGTAACTGTAGCATCTGTTTCTGTTCTGGTTCATGCAAGCACCTCAACACTTGCTTACTCGTTGGCATGGCAACCATTCCTGAGTACCAGCGGGGACGCTGAGCACCACGCTTGGCATAACCGCTCCAAGGGGTCGGATCAGGTCCTTGGCCCAACATCCCAATGGCAGTCAAATGCCCCAAGGGCGCCAAAGGCTTTCCGGCAAAAAGGCATACCCGTGATCGAATGCAACTGACAACTTCCCCAAATGCGTGAAGTCCCAACTCTCAACCCCACAGACCTAACTCAACCCTCTGAACCCCAAATCCCTAAATCCCTACATCCTCTGAACCACGAATTCTAAATTCCCAAGCCCTGAACACTAGACACCCAACTCCAAAATCCTGGCAAGGTTGGGCCGAGGATTCAGCTGAACGAGGAGATGCCTCCGCGGCCCCTCGCCGAAGCGCAGCACCTGATATGGTGCAGGCTTAAGAGGTTTCCGGAGCTTCAAGGTTTTGAGTTCAGGTTGCAGTTTAGGGTTTGACGTTGGAAGGGCTCGGTTTTGGAGATTTTGGGAGGTTTACGGTTTGGTTTCTATGGCAATGACCACCACAACGGCAATCAGCAGGCAGTGCAGAAAAAATCTGTCATGTCGCAAGCACAGTTCGTGATGGGCCTAGCCGCCTCATCTGCCCAGCATTCAAGGGCTTCGGAAGGCCTGACAGGAAGCTGGTGACAACCCGAGTGATGTACTAAGCGAAGTTTGTGAGAACGATGATCGTCGTGACGTCACGGGCCGCATTGAATTCACAAATCACACTGCCATGAGCTTTTATCGGGCTTCGGGCGCAATTGGACGACCAGCGCCGCCGTCGCATCTCCAACTCGGCCTTGACCTTGGCTGCATGGGAGATGCGCTTTCTGCTCCTCCGTTGTCACTTTTGCTCAAGCATAAGGCTGCGGCAGACCTTGCCCAAGCCCCAGCCTTCGGAAAAATCAGAAAAAACTCCTCCAATCTCCAGCCTTGGCAAGGCAGACGTGCCATCGGACAACAGATGTGTTCAGGTAGCAGTCCGCTGGGTTTGCTGCCCCTCCTCCACGCAGTCTGGTAAAGGTCCCAGCACCTTGCGCGAAGTTAGCAACAAAATCATGTAAACCCCTGGCACACAGGCAGCTAAGGTGCGGCTTGCTCCACCACCTCTGGGATCACCAAGTCGTCAAAAGTACTTGAGCCTGAGCCGCTTCTAGAAAAGGCGAAGGTCTGCAAGTGCTATCGAATCAACGCACCAGACAGTGGAAGACAGGATCTAAGCCACAACGCAAGCCTTCTGGAAGCTCGCGGATGGCCTGGGACGGTAAAGAGCACGTGTCTTCAGGCACCGACAGCAACGCCTGAAGTCTGCTCAGAGCTATTGCGAGCTTTGTGTGAAAGTTGTGTATGCTTTTGGACTTTGACATCATTGCTCAAGAGGATGTCAGATGCGAGCTGAAGGTAAGATGTTGGCCTCCAGGGCTCTCCGAACACGTGGCCGACTCGACCCGTCTTTGGTCACCTCACAGGGCGTGAATCCCACTTCTGGATTAAAGGACTTTGCCTTGCCAATCTGGAACTCAACCCTATGTGGCCATGAAAGTGGCTGACCAAACTACCCAAATCTAAAGACTCTTTTTCTGGAGCTAACGCTTGGCTGGTTGCACTGCGCATTTTGAAATTGCTCGTGCTGATCTCGTGTTGCTGTCGAATCACGATGCATCACTCGCGACACTGCTCTTGACCAGTAATTCGCGGCTAGCAACATTGCAGCTGCATCAGCAGAATAACAGCGTGCATTCACTCGACAAGCGTGCAAACAGATTCTATGTTTTTCTGGCATGGATGATCATGGATTCATTCGGACAATTTCAAAGCCAACCCGAAGCCTGTGAAATTGGTGGCGAGGGCAGTCCCACATGTTCGACACCTGGCAGGAATCATCAGCGGTGTACAAAGCGAAAGGCAACGACAAACTTCAGAACAGACTTCAGTCCCTACAAATGCCTCAGAGTGAAGCTCTCCGAAAACTTACGCATTGAGAGATTCGGAAACTGTCTACCGGCTCGAGCTTCTCATGTCCCATACAATCATGCCCCAGGTGCCCGATGTGAATGAGGAAGTCACAAGCACAGGCGTGTTGCTGTCTTCCGCCTGCCACTGGCAGGACATGTGGTAGAAGGGGTAGCTCTCACAATTATCGCCACTATGCTGACCATCTAGACACTGACTGCCCTTTTTGGTAAATGGAGCTGTGTAGGATGCAAGCATTCACCACGGTCATGTTCTCGAGAAGCATTCCCATGTTATCCCCTAAACACTGGACTTCCTTACCCAGGGATCCCTAACAGGCAATATCCCGCTTTGCCTCCTCCGTACATCTTGGACTATCCGCCATAGACCTAAGCACTGCTCTGAACAAAGGATTTTTCCAGACTGGCTCGGTGGCCTTGTTTAGCAACAACGAACTGCTAGCATCAATGAGGATTCTTGGGGACCTTCTCAAGTTGTTGGGCTCGTTTCGAAGCTTGATCTGCTGCTCCCTACATCTGAGTATTCGCCGAAACTCCTGGTGTATCCGATGCCATCCACAAGCTGAGGGAGTCCTACCGGATTTGGGGAGTTTGGCATACGACGCCGGCATTCAGCCAGCAAACAGTCACGGTTCCGTCTTGGACTTAGATCGAGGGGTATCGTTGTTTTTTTTGGGGGGGTCCTTCGCTTTTGGGCCTCATACGCGAATGTTAACCATTGCTCATGCTGCTCATATAGCCCCGTTTGGGGGTCGTTAGAAGGTGGTCCACACTGCTTTGGAATAGGGATTTGAGATATAATCCCAGGAGGTAATTAGTTTCTCAAAGGCTGAGGTCACAGCATACTGCCTCCACTGGCGGCACTGGCAAATTGCCTGGGTCTGCGTCACGACTCAGTTGGATCTCCCCTCATCTACAGTAGCCACAAGACATAAATGCATTGATGTTCCGCCGCAAGATCCCATGATTCTCCCAGTCTTAATGCCACGCATGGGTGGTGGCCTGACCCAAAAGAGACCAGCTAAGCCTCACTGTAGCATCTTGTATCGATCTCCAGGCTGCCCTCAAAGCGTCCAAGTTTTCGACCCACTCTGAATCCCGCCGCAAAGGTCGGGCCTGATACTGCGCAGCTGACACAGACTCATGAAGAAGTATGTTGCATATGAGACATTGTCTAATGCACGTCAATAACCCCTATAATGTTCCCCTATATTGCTTCACACACATCATTGCCGAGGTCTGCGCGCGGTGGGCTCTAGCCATGGATTCATCCTGTAGGGCAACGGCAGGAGCGACGAGGGTGGCATTCAACATCGGGGTGGGGGAGAACGTGATGTGAGGGTGTTGTGTTCATGTTTATCTTGTAGCCCAGCGTCCAGCTCAACCAGGTCGGCAAGAAATCCCGCAGATCTCCGTAGATCCCGAAGCCGCAAATCTGCGAGAATGAAGCTTTCTCAAGAGAATGCCTACGACGCTTACAACATATTTGCACGGTGCTGTACTTGTTGAAGTTGAGGCTGTAGCCGCATTGCGGACGTCTTCCTGCAGCATTTTGACTCAGAACTTCCTAGGCTTACCTGGCATCATACGACATAACAAATGGAGATCGTCCTCAAGGCCATGGAACTCGGAAGGCAACACTGGAGGACGACGGCACTGCAAGCAGTAGCATTGCCCATGAACTGCTTTTAACTCATGACGACACTCCATGCAATTCAAGGCTGGGCATACTAGACGTGCTTGGTATGCACAGCTCAGCAAATCTGATTGTCGTGTTGTATGCGGCGGCCTTCGGACTACTGCTTGAACTTGCGGATGGACTGGATCGTGCCGCAAACCTGGGGGACCACCAGCAGCACAACTGCTCGATTCCAGTCTTGAGAAAGCTCACTTGCATGCTATGAAGCAGTGTTTTATCAACTTTGTAACCCCGGTGCCTCTGCTGCGGCGGATCATCGAAAGGTGTCTGACAGCATCAGTTCCGTAAAATCCCAGCCCCGTCACGTCTGACTGCGTGCAGCTGGCCTGTTCGTCTGGCTCCTCCACCTGCATGTGAGGCACTGGGGTTGGTGTTGCGTGACTGACTGCGGCAAAGATCAACGCCACAAGCACTGACCTCGCTGAGGGGGTGGAAAGTGCTTCCCGCTGCTTCGCGATAACGCTGCAATGCGGTCAGCACAGGGTCTTCTCCTTAGCCAAGCTGCGACCTTCTCAAATTCTGGCACCCAGCATGTCTGAAGGCAAACATTGTCTGAAGGTGCTTCCGTGCAGAACACTGCCAGCGCAGGCCTTTCACAAGATCCTGAGACTCAAACCCAAGCTGCGCGGAAGGGCGCCTCAGTGACAACAGAAGGAAAAGGTCAAGATAAAGAAAGCACAAAAAACAAATGCATGTTCTTGTCCCTGGCAAGTGGATGGCCTTGGTGCACACCAGGCAGTGGAGCCATGGGCCTGGCAGCAGAGGTACAAGGAAGTATGTAAGCGCAAGCGAGCCCAGCTGCTGACAAGCTTCCTGGGGCACTTCCGGCCCAGCCCTGGACCCCTCCGACATCGCCCACACCCGCAGCTGGAGAGCACAGTAAGCGAAGGTGCGGCAATGCAGTAGATCATCCAACAAAGAGCCAATGGGCATCTGAAAGTGCTGGGGCTAGGCACTCTTTGCGGGGGGCGGCGCAAGGGACGCTGCCAAGGTTCCGCCCGGCCCGTGCAGGGGGGCTGGCTATGTCGCTCTGGCACTAGGTCCATCTCAAAGAACTGCTTTGCAGTTCCAAAGTTGGACCGAGAACCACCTATGAAATTCAAATGCACGTCCGGTAGCTCTTCAACCAACGTCAAGCCTGCTCGACCACCTGCTTGAGACTACTGCGCCTGAGCTGCCGTGTTTTCAGCAATTGAGCGGACTGGAAAGAAAGTTGTACATATTCAGCCCTGGCACACGCTGACAGAAGTGGGGGCTCGCACATCCTTAAAGCTTTCCTCGCCATAGCGGCGCACGACAACACGTTGAAAATCGTTCTCTGCACCAGGGAAGGCCACCACGGTGATCCTGAGCAAGGATGCGGATGAAAGCCCAGAGCCCAGCTCAACTTCAAATGCATCTGGAAGGTGCCAAGCAGCTTCCCACTTTGACCGCAAAGCTTTGAGAGCCATTCTTGGCAAACCTGCAAGCAGCTGGCAAGAGCTGAGCTGGCAAGAGATGTGAATGCACGGCGCTGTCAGTCTGTGCCTTGCAAGGCCACAACGGGGCAATGCCACCTCAGGTGCCAGGTGATGGTCTAAGTGGTTCTACGAGTTTGGCTTGCAAGTGCTGGCCAACACTGAAAGGTGCGATGCTCAGTCCGTGACCTGAAGGGTCAATGACGGCAATGACCTGCACATGAGTGAGTGGCGGTTTCCCATGGTTTCGCTGCCTACATCGAGATTTTGAAGGGCAAGCCGCAGATTCTGGAAAATTAGGATAACCGCAGAAGCCACTCGAACATCACAATTCACATGAGCCATAATCTAAACTCCTAGTATCCCCCTTTATAACCCCCATAGCAATCCCCTATACAACCCTCTTTAAGGAGTTTAGACTATAGCTCATATGAATTATAGCGAAACCTGTCAAAGATTGACTCGGGAAACCTCCCAGTGTGGGCCTTGATGGCCTTTGCATGGAAAAACTCCGTCGCTGCGCGTGCAATGCCTGCTCGCTCCGCGCACAGCGAGCCAGCAGTCAAGGCAACCTCCAGCTCTGCCATAATTCAGAAATTCAGATTCAGGCTTCTCAACACGGATGTATCCTGTGGGCCCCATGGGCACTGTATACTGGAGGGATTATGAGGACACTGTGAGGGGCCCCCCTTTAGGAGCGATAACGATTATTTTTGGAGCTCGCCAGATGGAGCCTCCGTGTTCATCCCCGGCATCGCCACCAGGGTTCCGTTTTCTCTGGCGCAGACCACGACGGAAAGAACTACCTGAGAAGCTCCACCAGCAATGGATTCGGGAGCCATGATGGATTTAGGACTCACAATGCCACCGGGGGCCTTGTGAGATTTGCGCTGCCAGAAGTTGTCTGTTTCTGCCTGCTGCCACCTCGCGAAGAGCCTGAGCTAGGACAGTGATGCTCAAACCGGTAAGCTGTGAACTCACACGTATCTGCCATGCTAATTTGACGAGCTACTCCTGCAGAGCGTTGACAGCAAAGACTATTTCGGGCTCTGTCTCCATATCGTCCACATCCCACGAGAGATCTTCCACAGCCTCAAAATCACTTGTGCATTGTTCAGCGAAGGCTCTGCTGCACGTTTGCATCGAGGAACTGCCAAGGAGCCGAGGGAGTTGAAGGAGCGGCGCATCTGACCAAACACCGGGAAAAAATGCTGGCTAGCTTCACCAATCTCATAATGAGAAAGCGTGGCCTGGCCCCGCCTTTTGCATCAGCTCCTGCGTATTCATTCGCGCGAGACCTGGGTCTCAGCTCAGTCACATGCTGCATGTGTCGTGTTAGGTCAGCTAACTCCGTAGCGCAAACTGCGGATAAGCATCTTTGCACCGCGATGTGCATGAGCTTCTCCCTGGCAGATGAAGGCTCCTCACAAAAGCTCGGAGAAAAGGCAGCCAGGAGGGTGTGAGTATTTCACAACAGTCCAGGCCCTCGTCCCACCCAGCTTCCCAACGTATAGTTGGATTGGGGAATGATTTGTAAGGATGATTCATGGGGGATTCGTAAAGACTGTAGCAGAGATCTATTCCCTCCTCCCATACCCCAACACTCGAAGCAACGTACGTAGACCATGGGACGCTTGTGCGATGCATCTCCTCCTCATCTGGCTCCTTCTCAGGTTCGTGTCGCGTATCAGCCTCTTCCTGATCAACCGCTTGATTGTGGTAGCTCCCCAAAACAAAGGACCATCATACCCTTACCACACGAACAGAATCCTATTTTACGACTTCCGAGTCCGGGTATATAACTTTCGGAACCAGGCCTCAAACTTGACCTTCGGCGAACTTCTGGAAGTCGCCGGAAGCGACGGCCGCGAGGGCTCACAAAGAGCTTGGCACACATACTGGAAGCAGCGCATCAGCTGGAAGTTGTTTGATCAGCTGGGATCATGATCGCATGTGAGAGTTTCAAATTGGGGTCCGGTTATGTACTCCTTGAAACTTGATGATCCTTCCACAGCTGTCCCTCAACTTAAGAAGACCCGTGCTCAATCCACCGAAAGTCATCTTTGCCTTGATTTCTGGCATCTACTTCTGTGCAATATAGTCAAGGCCTGAGGCTGGCCTCATGCTATCTCAGATGAGCCTGACAGGCCAGATCTGATTCGTCAGCTCTGTGGCTGGACCTGTGTGGCATAATATGAGTGCTACCGTGTCGAACAGGACATTTTGCCCAGTCTTTCTCTCCTCCGCTCGCCTCGGGCTCTGCAGCTTGTATGCAGCCAAAGGCGCTTCGCACGCAGCGATTCACCGCAGCCGGGCTTCGGCCGCAGCAGGAGTGAGACCGATGCAAGGTTTCATGCATTCTGGCGAGCACCTGTGACGGGACCTGACGTTGTGGGTCGTGGGTCGTGGCCCCCTCTGCAAGTGCTCCTGCCAACTCCTGCTTCTACAAATCATTAGCAAGCAACGAAGGCTCCCCGTTTTTGGGGCCTCCATTGTAGAACAGTTCCGGCCCGGAAAAAGTGGCCAGAGCGGTTACATGCCTAGCTCTTCAGGCACCACAAGCGCCTTGCACAATGGGCACAGTCGGGAATGCAGCAGCCATTCCTGGGCAATAACAGAAGTTGTCGAAGGCAATAGCCCTGAAGGATAAGCGCACAAATAGCACAACAAAAAGAGCTGTGCCATACTAAGCTGCTTCACAGAACCAGCACTGGAACTAAGCCGCTTGACACAAGCAACGCGGTGCAAAACGACATGTCTTGAGTTGCTTCATAAGCCGCATTCCTCTTTAACTCCTGTTGTTCAGCCAAGCCGCCTTGATACACTCGGGATGGTACCAGTGGCAGCAGGGCAAGGTGGTGACGACCTCACCTTGCAGACAGGCTGAACATCGCAGTAGACACCAGTTGGAACTATCCTGTACGTACTTGTTCCTACGCACGCCATTGCAACATAATGCAAACATGACATGTTCAGGATTGCCCAAGCCTGGTGCCGGCACCTCGAGGCAAATCGTGCAGGGCTCGGCCGAGCAAGACGTCACTGGCTTCGCAGGAAGTCTCGAAACCACATCTTCCAACACGCTTGGATCCACGGCGCTGCTTCGAGCGCTTGCAAAGTGTGGCTGTGAGTCACTTGCCACCAACTCCATGAAGGAGCGCGACCTTCTCAAGGAAAGTGCTGGTGAAGAGGCAGGCCCACTGGAACTTGCACCAGATGCTTGGCGCAAGTGTCTCTCTTTGGCCTCCTTTTGTCTTGCATCCACACGCATCCGATCTGCAGGGCAAGGCGACTGAGCCACCTCCAAGCGCTTGAGCAGCTCACGGATCCGTGCCCGCCGTGTCTGTGGCCTCGTCCGACACTCGCGCTCCACAGCCAAAACACTGGGAGCGACGGAGACGGACTCCCTCTCCGATCGCAAGGGGCATTCCGGTTCCACTGGCACAGGGTCCACGGACTCGCAAGAGCCGGGGCCCGTTTCCCTCTGCGAGGGTTCACTTCCAGAGTCTGGCTCAGCGGCCGTGCTTGAGCTCAATGAAGTAGCGGGCATTGCCGGTTCTTTCCCAACTGCATGTGCCGAGCACGCTGCCATGGAGCTGCAGTCCACTTCTTCCTTCTTCCTTCCAACCTCCGCAGTCAGCCAACTAGCCCTCACCCTCGGAGCTTTTGACTTGCACTACTAGTCCCCACAACTACTGTTACTACAAACACCATCGAAGACGAGGCTCCATCCAGGGACTCCTGTTGGCATGGCTTGAGCTTGCATGGAAGTCCAAGGTGGGCAGTGGTGAGCTGAGTGAGCTGGCGCATTCTGCAGCCTGCCAGGGTCAGGAGAGTGGCTTAAGCTGATGTGATGTACTCCTCCTGTAATCGTGGCTGCAGTGCAGTCGGATTCCTGCAAGCGGCTACTGTTACTGTTGTGCTCGTGCACGGCGAGCCTACTTTTGACCACTAAGCTGCAGACCGTCAAACGTTTAGATCCAAGCAATTATGAGGACTGTCGGAAAATTTGCTTGTTGTTGGAATCCAGCGGCCGCCTAAGGAGGTCAAGCCCCCCTGAAAACAGTACGTAGTAAGGACGCTACAACCTAGGCTTTTAGGTCAACTTTGGCTTTCTAGATCTTTGCTGCAGGTGCAAAATTTGCCAGCCCTCCCTCTGCGAGGAGGCTGTGCTCGAATCATTTGAGCTTTTTCCAGCCAAAGCAAGAAGACAACACCCCTCTTGCACTGTTCACTTATTGATGCACAGCTATTTCGTTCTGACTCTGACCGATTCTAACCGACTCTAACGGGTCAATCAAGGAAGTCAACAGCGTACTGACCCACCTGCAGGAGATCCGTCTCGCATGGAGCTCCCATCTCCCTTGGCTCCACCGGACCAGGCTGCTCCATGCTCTGCAGACTAGGACTTCGAAGCGGATGGCTGAGCGGGGCTGCGGAGGACGAGGACGTCACCGAGGCAGGCGCAGAAGGTGCAGAAGAAGGTTCGGAGAGCATGCGCGCCACCATCTGCGAGGCCGACTCTCGTCCGCCTATGCGGCCCTGTTCTGCTGCTTCAGGCTCCTGACTTATACCAGGCTCCTGGCTCCTATCGCCTTCTTCCAGGGCGACTGGTCGCAGTCGTTCAGGCGTGGGCGTTGCAGTGCTGACATCATCCTTGAATGTTGCCACGAAAACAGTAACCCGCTCAATCTGACATGTCTGCACAACAGGAACTCTGCACGTGATGCTTAACAAACATCCAAAACAGACACCAACAGACCTTTCTTACCATCCTGAAAATTCCTGTTCCAAGAGGTTATCTTGCTTCCGCATCTTCCACTGTCCCTAGAGCTTCTTTCCCTTGATAGATTTCTCCATCTTTCCCTGGTTACTTTTTCAGATTCAAGCGGCCAGCGCACTTCTCTGCAGGAATGTTCCATGACGCTGGCGCTCGGCTTCAAGGCTGCAAAGCAGACGTTTCAAAGCCAGCGGCCGTGCCTGCATCTGTAAGGCTCTCCAGGATCAGTGCAGGATGGAGGCATTTTGGTAGAGGCCACTTTAAAGACCCTACGACATCTTGCAAGGAACCCCTCTTTTTAGAAGTAGCCACTTAGGCCTTGGAAACAGATTATGGCTTTTGATCGCGCAAGGGTGCAAGACTGTCAAAGGATCTCGTGTTTTCCTTGGTCCGAACATGATCCCTAAAACCCGAAACCCAATCCTCAGAAGGACTCCTCCAAATAAGAAGTATTTACTTGGAGGTGCATGGAGAATGAGAATGTGGGGTGATGTTTTTGCCATCAACTCCGTTCTGCTTCTCGCCTGTTGATACCATGTGTAGCTACGGCATCTGGCGAGACACGTAGTGCCAATGTAGAGTCCCTTGATCTGAAGCCCAAAGCACGGTCCTTGATCTTCTTGAGCTGTGCTTCTGGCATCTCCAGCAGCGCTTTCAAGGTCACCGCTGGGAACTGCTCTCCTGTGCTTGCGGCGCCGCCATAGAGAAAAATTCTGGTGTCAACGAGAAAATTTTCAGTGACACTTACCGCTGCGGAAGCAACGACCTTTTCCCCCTTTACTAGAGCCAAACCCATGACGACTTCAACCATAACTTTCAGCACGGAAATCTGCGCCTACCCGCTTGAACAAGCATGGGGATGCCAACTCCACGATTCCTAAAGCGGGTTCCCGGGAGTGCGATGATGTGGGGTTTAGCGTGGGGCCTGGGATCTCTGACATGGAGGGAACGTTACGGATGTGCAGCACAGTTGCCTCATGTACATCCTTTGCCCCTGGTGCAGGATTGGAACGACTTTGGACAAAGCATTAAGTGCACACTCAGCATCTGAGCAGGCCGTGTAGGTCCGAGAGGTCGGCCCGACGAAGGAAGACCTACAGCGGCAAGTAAGTCTCTGAAGCTGCTTCTTCCTTCCTAGTCCCCTCCACCTGAGAGATTCAATCCCCAACCCCTAAAATTGAATATTCCCATTATGATGTACTATGTTATATAGGGAATATCTTATGATAGGGGGTTGGAGGCTTTGATGTAAGGGTAGGGGGATTAACAGTGAAGAGAGGAGTCCCACCTTCAGCTCCATCAGCTGCCAAAGATCTTCGGGCTCCTTAGAAATGGTGGTTTCCCAAAATTAGGGGTACCTTTTTGCAGGGCCCTATACAAAGAATCATAGGATTTGGGTGTCTTTCATGGGATCCACCTTTTCATGGAAATTGCCAACCAAATCACGTAGCTGTGGAGGATTTCCGGAGCTGTCGGGAATTCCTATACTGGCCACAGGGGCATAGGCATTCTCACGCTCTGCAGCTTTAGATACCAATATACGCGCTGCCCTGATCTCCGTCAAACTATTCAGAAAGTCTGGAATATTCCCTTGTGGGCGGCCTCCTCCCATCGACCCCTGATCGATTATCTCATTTCGTGCAGAGATTTTAGGAAGAATTCGCATCCCCCCTAATTATGAGGAAATGGGCTTACTAACCAGCCAGCTGCATGCATGTGCACTGCGCTGGGGTAGGGCTACGCTAACTCTGCATTACCCCGAAACTCCCCTGAACACAGCTCTATACCTCACTCTGTATATAGATATATATTTAAGACCCTGGGAATTTCAGTATGTTGGGGATCGCAAGTGGTGCGGGATTTTCTCCACCCATCGCAAACGAAACCTAAACCCCATAAACCATAATGACACCCCAGTTTCGATGCAATTCCCCATGTTCAGTCCTAGTTGAGTCTCCATTATTGGGTAGTGTCCCTAAACCCCATGTAATCCCTACATAACCCCGCAGAATCCCAATATAGCCCTTGGCCTTGCTCCCAAAAAACGCTAGACTTAGCCCAGTCTCAGCCGCAGCCCGCGCCTCAGACCCAGTGGGTGGTCTTGCAGGAGCAGATGCTTCCTGACCGGTATGGCTTTTTAACGGAAGCAAGGAATGTGTATGTGTATACAGGGAGAGCGGACTTTGCAGAGGGTGTGTGGGTTGAGGATAGAAGGTGGGCTCAAGGTTTTCTACTGGTTCATGGAGCATTTCTCAGGAATGTGGCCCGTTTATCTACCACCCAAATGCTATTGTTGGCCTGAAGAACACCACGACAACGCCCATGATTCCGAGAAATACCCATGGGAAAGACTTGGAATTGTGACAGAGGCAATTGCTCAAACTAGAATAATACTGAGGATGAGAACGAACGCAATTTGTGTGTGTGGGTCGTGTTTTTCCTACCATTACCTTCGTCGTTACCTATAAGACTGAACACCATGTGTGCATTCCTGTTCCTTTTCTCGCAACTGTCCTTGCCAGTTGCGTTATTCGTGTGTATTCATGGGTTGATGGATGCTGGATGCATCTCGGTGAGAGACTGGCAGCCCCCTAAGAAGCAGCAACAATGCAGTTCAAGAACGCTCCCTTGCCACTCCTTTTCCAGCGTGTCCGCACGATCACGCTCACTTCGAGAAAGAATCTCCAGGGAGCTCCAAGCCTCCCACAAGAAGTACTGCCGTAGCTGCTAGGCTTTTCTAAGCACACAGGCTGAAGGGGCCCCTGGAGACAAACAGTTGCGGCGAAAGCTTGGAAGTGCACAAAGCATGCCGAAGAAGCTATGCACTAGCAGCAAAAGTAGGATACTCACAATGCAGGCAAGCATTGCAACAGCTTGTACAGTCCTTCCGCAAGCTCCGCAGACGATGCAACAGCTGCTCATCCTTGACGGCTTCACCTTTCCACAAGCTCGAACAGGCAAGTGTCACGGGGAAGGGTCCCTATCTGCATGAATATCTACTGCAATGATATGACCACTTTGCGAGGAACTGTACTTAATATCTAGCTGGCTAAACAGTACAAGCTGCGCAGGCGTTGAGCATCGCCAGCTCCGGGGCCAGTCTCAGCTTGCGGTTCAGATAATGTGCCGTCTATCAGCGACATGCCAGGCTTGGAGGCGTTAGAGGCATCGCTTGCCGAGCGAGGGCGCTGCGCGCCTCCTCGCGACAAACTTGCCACAGGTCTGGGCCTCAGAGGTTCAGTGTGGACTTCGCCGTTGCTCGCTGCATAGCCAACACTCCGTCCAGAGAGTAGGAAGCCATCGCCTTCCAGAGAGAACGGCCGAGCGAAGGATGGTGCAGAAGGAGGTCGGCTCGATTTGGCAGCTGAGTTTCTACGAGCGTTTATCCTCGAGGCTCTTGGCGTTGCGGCACCTGTCCGAAAGGGAGGCTTGGAAGGTGTGGATGGCGTGGCAGGCGCAGGAAGACGGAAATCCTCAGACACCTCCGCCGTCTGCTGGCTCTGGCTGCGGTGGCTCGGTTGGCTTCGTTCCTCTGTCCGCTCCTCAACCAGATCCTGCGGCTTCGTGAAGCCCATATTGAGCTCCGGGGTGGCGCTAGGAATACCGTGCGCCCTGCAAGACTGGTTCTCATCCCATCCCTTGACCACCAGATCCCGGCGACGGGAAGGCTGCGACGCGTGCGATTCATGTCCTGAGGCCCACAGCCAATCCTCACCCTCCGAGGGTGCAGGTGGCGGAGTCGGTGGGGAGCGTGGAGATGGCGAAGGTGAAGCCGGCCGGTACGAACTCCTTGCCACAAATGGTTGCATAAAATTTTGATGAGACAAGTCCCTCAGATCAATGGTGGCATATGCACAAATGATTTTGACTCTCCCTGTTCGAGGGCCCTCATGACTCGTACGTATCGAAAGCCGTACTTCAAGTTGCATTGCCCAACTTACGGCTCTGTAGCGGCTGGGGGCTGAATGTCCTCCACTCTGATTGCATGGAGTTGGTACCGACCGGCCGAGCAGCAGCCTGCCACTGAATGAAGGTTAAAGAAAGAATCCGCCGATGACAACCAGGGCAGAACCTGTAAAGGTTGACTTTCACTAAGGGTTCTCATGTGAAACTGCAACATTGTTTAGAATCCCGCTGAACTTCTTCCGTCTTGTTGCGGATACTCCCTCGATGCATCAGATTCCTCTGTGTCCTCAAGAGCCATTCGCAACCTCTTTACACTTACAGTTGTAAGGATTACCTGTTCGGAATGGAGCTCCCATCAGTCTCATGGCAGTCATCGTTGGATGTCTCTGACACAGGTGATGGGAAATGAAATCCATCAGAGAATGCAGTGGGGACCACATGACGTCACCATAGGACCCCCTCATGTCCACCCTTAGTAGTTATTCGCTACTTTCAAGTGGTGAACATGTTCTTAATATCATCTTCATGTTTCCTGATAGACTTTGCTACTCACATGGGAGTTGGCCAGGATGAATGCTACAAAACTCGAGGGAACCTAATGCAGTAGTATAGACCTTGACGACTCAAAGACTGCAACCAGGTGATCAGCCTGTGGCGATGCCTTCATAGTTGCCGCGTTGCCTGAGCGCTGGGGCGCAAAGCGTTTATCCAGATTAGGGGTCCCCTCATACCCCAAAACGTATGAGGATCCCTAACGGAAGTTCAAGACATTCCTCAAAAAGAAGCTTCTAGCAGCTGATATCTGGTTCTGTTCCAGCCTCTGACCACCACAAAAACCTGCGCAGGAACCCATAGTTGTGAAGGACCCGCCCTGAATCCTCTTTCCTTCGTACTTCTGAGAAGCCTTGTAAAAGGCATACAAACAATTCAAGTACCCACAATGTTGAAAAAGCTCCACTAATTGTTGAGACCTAGTCACAGCCCGCTGCCAAATCAGCAGCAAGAAGGGAAGGCTGCGTTGCCTGCTCCTCACGGCCCACGCTGGCTACACAACATTTCTTTGATGATGTTGCCTTCTTGGCGATTGAGTATGCTACATGTAGGGGGAATGAGAGGGGCTCAAGATTATGGGCTTTGCGGAGGGATGACTACACTAGGGACCATAGTATTGCATGGGGGTCACGCTTAGCGCGGATTGAGAGCTAACCCGGAACCATCAAGGTCAAGGGCTTCCCGGCATTCCCGGCCATACGTAAGCTTCACAAAATGAAGGGCCCTTGCTGCAAGGCAATCTGAACGCAGAGTGGCGCGTCTGCTTTTTGACTTCACAACAGCTGATGCCTGTACTGTGAGGATTTTAGGGACCGATGATAGGGGGATTACTTTGGCTCTTTCCATTTGTGTGGGCCGCTTCGATTTCTGGGCTGGCTCTGCGTAGCCTTGCCGAGTGCACTGACAAACCTGCCATTCTTTGCAACATCAATCCTGCGTCTATGATACTAGTAGGGGGAGCGAGTATTCCGGGATGACTTGTAAGCAGGAATAATGCAAGGAGGACCTTAAGTATACACGATAAGCAGGAGCGCAATCCACTAAAGCCAAACGAAACGTACCATCATGCCCCGTATGCTAACAGAGGACCCTGGCCAAAACCGTCTAACAAAACACACCCACATTCCCTACAATAGCCCCTGTGTTGCATATGCGTGACATCCATATAGAACTGCCACAGAAATGGACTCCACCCTACAACGTCCTGGCCATAGCCGTCTGACATCAGGGTGTTGCGCAGCTCCCAGGTGTCATACAGGGAGGCTGCGGGGACGGCATCTGGCTCCTCCACCTGCTTCTGCTTCTACTAGGATGGAGGTAAAGAAGATCAGGGGCAAGACACCGTATATGGGCTTGCAAGAGACTTCTCCAACCTCATATTACAGACCTCAACCTTGAGAGACACTCACCAAAGCAAGCTTTGGAGAGAGCCGAAGATGGCAAGAAAGCTGCAACAGTGCCAATAAGAAAGCCACCAAAGCTTTAAGAATACCCCCAGTCAGACTAGTCACGCATGAGACCATGAGAGCATCTCAAGGATGGCAAAATATCCCTCTGCTGATGGCCTGTTCGTGGTAGAGATCACTCGAGAGTGGCAAGCCAAGCCTTCCTTCGCTGCTAGGAACATCCGGTCATACGCTTGCTGGACAAAATCTTGCATGACACTATATACCAATAGCCTGGCAACCATGGTGCTACAGTATACTAGGTTCATGCAGGATTTCTGTCCATTATGGATCCCGTTCTGGGTGTCCTCTTCGGCATTTATGCGGCCCTTGAAACTGTCTGTGGCACTGCAGGCCAACAGGTGTAGACCCCCAACCCTTTAGTCATTCACGCACGAAAGCACCTGGACACTATCGCTGTTATGCAGCTTGTTTGTCAAAGTTATTTGGAGCTCATCGAGCTTAGACTGTCAGCTCCGTTGCCACTGCCAGGATAACTTTGCGACCGTGAGGCTTTGAATTGCCTCCAAGCGTTCGCGAGCGGACAAGGCAGGCTCCTGCGCTCAGAACATGGTAGCAACAGTGGCGGGAGTAGAACTAGGAGTAAGAGGGGTAGGGGGCAACGGGGAAGAGCTTCCATCCACTGCAAGATGTCAGGATGGTCTGCCAAGCATTTACTTCACTATGCTCTCGAAAGCTGTGGATTCCAAAAGAACAGGTTGGACGACTGCCTGAGATGGCGTCCACAGAATGACGTACTCCTCGAGAGTGCGTGCCCCTTTCAATGCTTCCCCATCAAAATCAAAACGGATTCAGAGTGTGTGGTACTGAGGTGGTGAAGCCAAGTAAGGCAGCGCTCTGAAAGAAGCGCCCGAAGGACACTTGGGAAAATCCGATTTACTCCCTGTTGGGGGTGGCCGCGCTTCCAGCAGAATTTATTCTCCACAACATAGCCCCATGCCATCCTTAAAGCCAGAATGCAAACTCCCATCCCAGCCTTTCTCAATAACAGAAGCCTACAGAGTCCCATAGAATCCCTAAGGAACCCAACAAGCCCTGGTAGTACTTTCTCAGAGCAACGTTGAAAGAAAAAATGCAAGAGCGGTCCACTTTGAGCCGAGTAGCCACCTTCTCTTCCCCCCGGCGCGAGCGTAGCGAGGCAAGGCCAAAGCCTTGGCATCAGCTAGCGGAAAGCTAACGTTTAGAGACAACTTCGAGTTTCCCAAAATTGAGGGTACAATTTTGAGGGGTCCTCATCTGGGAGGAAAGCTTCAACGTGCGAAGGATCATCATACTGGCAGACGTATACAGGGGAGCTCGCAGTGTTCTTGGTGTGGGGTGGTTGAACCAAGTAAGATTCTATTCTGCAAATAAAATACTACACGCAAAAGGAGGATATAATCTTACTCTATACTGGCGACCATGATATCCGCAAAAAAACTACTACTCATGCGATGACCATACATACAAGAAAGCTGTCTCAACACTGAGACGGCAATTTGAGGATCCCTGCGTATGTTATTATGGTCTCGAAGACTCTAGGGTTTACTACGCTCACAAAGGACCAGACCATAAGTTTGACTGAGAGAGTTGCGCGGTTATGAGCTATGTTTGGAAGCCCACACCCTGAATCCTGCGGAGGCACTGTGGATAAAGGAAATCTTTCACCCGTTGCGATACCTCCGTTGTACCGTTGTACTTCGCTCTTCGCCGGGTGTTTGAGGCGAGGCAAGGTTTACTCCATTTGCCGGAGCCTGGGGCCCTCACGAATGGACTCGAGCCGCGCCAACCGCTCAGCTGCCATCAGCGCAAGGCTGCACGGACCTCCCTTGTTTTGGAAGGGGGCTACGCAGGACTTTTTGCCAGTGTTCCGGAAGATCAACGTAGGTTTCGCATCACTTCCAAATATTGAAAACCTTTGCACTCCTCCTACACTGTTCAGTCACTGACGCGTCTGCTAGCGCACTTTCCGCCTCCTTACAAACGGAACCACATGCTTCCATGCTGATTCAGCTTGGGGTAGCATGCAGCGGCGTTTCAATACTGGCGGTTCATAGCGCAATGTTGCGGAATCTGAGCAAGTTCTACATGGGCATCGAGTGCCCAAGGTCCCTCAAGACACGCTGCTGTTAGAAGGACAGCTGATGGGGACCTGTATTTCTGAGAAGTTCCATACCCATAAACGACCCCTGCAAAGTTCGCGCATAAGACCCACCATATCTTCCTTGCATATACCCTGGAAATCTCTCCACGTGACGTGACGTTACGGGCAGCAGATCAGCAGAGGCCCGGATGTATTTTTGCGTGCGCGCCGATCCTAGCGCTCGATGCGTGAAAACGGCACCGGCTTGAAAAAAGTCTCTGAAGGCACCGACATGGACTCCGAGAATCCCTCAGGGCTGGCTCTGCCTGCCATAATTGCTTTTAAGTTGTTACAAAGCCAACATGAGGGAGGGTCCGTCTTTGAAAGCTCCTGCCTTGCGGTGCCAAGGGGCTACGAGCCCCAGCACTTTCTGATTAGCGCAATCGATTTCACTGGGGAGTTGGCCTCTAGCTCATCTCTCAACAGCGATGCTTCCATCCAGATCGCATACATGCTGCAAGCAAAAGCTGGCAATCTTCAGAACAGACACATACTCTGGGATTTCGCACAATGGCCCCATGCTCTGCTGGAGGTATGGACGCTGCAGGTGGAGGCACTCCCAAGAACACGCATTTCATAGCCTGGGCCAAAGTTTTGGCTTCGCAGCCACATTCAACAGGCCAAGATTTTCGTCGCACAAGAAATTGGCGTTGAACCTCTGGTGTGGCAATGGCGGCATACTCTTCCTGGGGGGCTTAACACTTTCCTCCGGAGGTTCAACAGTGTCAATATTCTTCTATGCTATGCCATAACCTCTAATGCAGGTCCAGCTCTGTGTCTGGATGCGCCTGCTTCAAAAATGGTCTAGCCATATTGGCCCCAAGTAGCTCCTCAGGGCATCAGAACAAGCCGAAGAATAACTTCGGCTCAAGCTGGTTGATCGCCCCCTTGCACAGACGTTGGATTGCCGGGCTTTCTTTCGTGAATCACACTTGTATCATTCTGTTTTCGGGTATGTTGCGGTGAATTCCATCGTCAGACCCAACACATAACAACCCAGATATACTTTTTTCTGCGACAGCCTGCAGGGCATCTTCGGACTGCTTCTCCACGGACAAGTCGGCCTGCAACAGGGTGGAGACTGGTCGTGCAAGAAGCTTGACACCTAGCAGAAAGCCTAAAGGAAGCTGTTGCACGTCTGCTGCGACAGCCATGCAACAGGCTTCTGCCAAAACCCATGAGAGATTGCAGCCCGGATGGAACCATTGCGGGCAAATGTTTCAACAAATCACTTTCCTTGGTAAATTCCAAGCAGTAACCCCGAAAATTCTAGTACATTGCATTTCCTTGTCCATTCCCTACTCACCATCTATTTGGGACTTTCGCCACTGAGCCCAACCAGCCTCGGCTTTTGCGAGCTTGGAGGCAGCATCTGCGGCCTGCGCATGCGGTTAAGGGAGTTTCCCAACATTAGGGGGTACCATGGGAAGGTTCCCAACATTAGGATACCCTTGGGCCTATAGGGTATATATAAATGCTTGCCCCCCAAGATCTACGTTTAGAGTGTTCCCGCTGTACTGTCCCTCATTTGGAGTGGCTGAGAGCATTTTCCTCCATATGAATTCCTGTTAAAATTTAATTAGAAATTCAAGAGAAATCCTTGATTCCTGGATTTGTCATTGTTGGAAGGATTTTCCTTTATATGAATTCCTTTTAAAATTTAATTAGAAATTCA